GCCTTGACAGCTTTACCCCTTGATACACCTGCCTGTGTCATCACCAAATCAATGTCACGTGGCTCCACCCCAGTCTCGTCAATCTCTTCCTCTTCCTCATCCACTTGTGCTCCAGTAGCAGCAGCAGAAATGAGAGACCGAGAGAGAGCTTGAAATGATGCTATGTTTGCAAGAAGTTAATGTGGAATGAAACTGTTCTTCCAGATTTGAAGCACCAAGGATGTTGCTTGACTATGAGAGAAGGGTCAACTTGGCTAGAAAAGATGAGATGCCCAAATCAGAAAAAATAAGTGATAAGGCATCTGAGAGTATTGGTGTTGAAGGCCTTGGGGAAATCACTCCTGAAGCTCAACAATACATTTTAAATTTGCATTCTCGTTTGTCTTCTGTAAAAAAGGTGAACTATAAATTTCCATCTAATACAACCCTCGTACATGGGTTCATTACATTATTGACATAGCCAAATTAAAAAGAAAAAAAAGAAAAGAAAAAAAAAGGCCTAAAACTAAAGAAATGTTTACTTCATAAAAAATGTGCATACTCTTTATACCCTTTGCCTGATTTGGATGCCAAGATAGGAAGATCAGAATTGAAATGCTTTCTGCCATCTTTTTGAAATATATTTTTGTTATTTTTATTTTGCATATTCATTTGTACTTGCTAAATCATAGATTAGAGATTGTCCTTTGATTTAGGCCTTTAGCATGTTTCATTTGGAATCTTTTTTCTCATTTAGTTGATAACAAAAACCTCATGACCTTTATATTCTTGAGTAATTCAACTGTTGTGGTTTCAATGGATCTGACAGCATAATTGGCTTTCACTATTTCCCTTTTCTCCCTGCAATAGGCCAGTCTTAGAAGACATCTGGCACTTTTATTTATTTTTTGTACTCATTTTTTAAAACGCATGCTGATTCACGCTACCCCTACTTTCCCTTTCTTTATTTTATTTTATCAAACAAAAAAAACAAAAAAAAAAAATCCATTCTTTAGAAATCTCTCTCAGATTCTTCTCTCTACAACCCAATTCATTTTCTTATTATTATTAGAGACTGAACCCTCCTCGGGCCACCCAATTCACTTTTCTTATTATTATTATATACACTTTTTCATTCTAACATATTTTCCACCGCCCAACTTTTCCTTGAACCTCAACTTTTTATCTTTTCTTTTAAAACAAACAAAAAAACAAACAAAAAAACAAACAAAAAAAAAACAAAAAAACAAAAAAACAAAAAAACAAAAAAACAAAAAAAACAAAAAAACAAAAAAAAAAAAACCTTCTATTCATTCCATCTCATTTTTCTGCTCAGTCTTGTACCTTCCAGCCATTCGGATTTGCACAATCCACTCATTTTATTTCTATCGGGACTTCGCCCTGATCATAATTTTACACCAAAAAAAAAAAAAAAAAAAAAAAAAAAAAAAAAAACAACAACAACAAAAAAAAACTACAAAACAAACAAAACAACCACACCCACAGTGGGATTTTTCTTCTCTACTCTGCTGCCGGTCTCTTCTTTTTGTCTCCGTCTTGGGCGGCCCTTGACGGTGGTGCCTCCGTGCTTCCTAGACCACCAAGCAAGTTGCCTCCTCCCTGCTCTTCCACTACAGCATATGGTGGACCTCCAAATCGGAACATCACGGTGGCCTTCCGCTTCAGCTCCTTGTTTTCTGTCTTTAGCACACTTATCTCTGCTCGCGCATCCTTATACATGCGTTGGAGCAGAGCCAGCTGGGAGTTTAAATGCTGCACCTCATTTGTCCTACTCTGCAGCCGGTTCGACAAATTTGTGACCGCCGTCATGGTTTCCACGCATGACTTCAGAGTATACTGATTGGCCTCAATATCAGTTTGCACCGCCATTTTTTGCTCCACCGACCGCATCGGAAAGTTCAATGGAGCAAAACCAGAGGTGTTTGGTTGAGGTTCACTGGCCATCGCACCAGTTATTTCTCTTGTGGACTCGTTCAGTTCTGGAAAGAGCGTGAGCAGACCACGGGAAGAGGAGGCCATGTTCTGGTTAGCTGGACGGGAAGAAGAGGCCATGTTGCTGAGTGTTTCAGAGACGGGTTGGTTACAGAGTATTACAGAGTTTCTCTCTCAGCAAAGGAAGAGTTTTTTCAGAGGATTTTCAGAAGTTTTTTGTCTGCCTCAGCCTCAGCATCAACCTTGGTTAAATAGCCAAGGCAGCCACGCGTGTTGCGCGCCACTTGACGCCAGACGACAAACGGGTGCGCCAGCCAAGGCACTCACGTGCCTCGCCATCATGTCCGGCACACCTTTTTATGGAATGGGCACGCCTTTTGATGGCACGCCTTTTGACAGATTTGGCACGCCTTTTGAGGGTGTGACTTTTTAAGGGTCCGACAAGACTCTGTAAACTGTCCCGACATTGATTCCGGTTAGTTTCTACAAGGGTCCGACAAGACTCTATAAACTGTCCTGACATTGATTCCAGTTAGTTTCTACAAGGGTCCGACAAGACTCTGTAAACTGTCTCGACATTGATTCCGGTTAGTTTCTATAAGGGTCCGACAAGACTCTGTAAACTGTCCCGACATTGATTCCGGTTAGCTCCTTCATGGGTCCGACAAGACTCTGTAAACTGTCCCGACATTGATTCCGGTTAGTTTCTACAAGGGTCCAGCAAAACTCCGTAAACTGTCACAACAACTGTCACAGCATTGTCTGCTACAACGGTCCGACATGACCCCATAAACTGTCTTCTACATTGGTCCGACATGACCCCGTAAACTGTCTTCTACAGCGGTCCGACATGACCCCATAAACTGTCTTCTACATCGGTCCGACATGACCCCATAAACTGTTTTCTACAACGGTCCGCCATAACCATACAGTCTTCTACAACGGTCTGACACGACCATACAGTGTCTCCTATCCTTTTTTATTTTTATGTATTTTTCTTGTTTTGTTACTCTCTCCAAACTCAAGTTGGTTAGTTTCTATCCTCCTTGAGTTTGCGGGGGACTGTTAACATTTACCATCACCTACCACCAAATTACCATCACCTACCACCACCTACTCCTCACCTACTCCTCACCTACTACACTCACCCTCTCCTATATAATGAGCCACTCACCATTTGTAATATACACAACATTAGAACATACAACAATCAATAATACAATCATTTATCTTTATACATTAAATTTCTACAATTTGACATTTGACCAATTGGATCGACTAATCCAAGGGATCAACTAAAATTTTCACAATGAATCTCAAATAAGTCGCCTTTATCTGAAAGTCTCTAATAATATTCCTTCAAATTGAGAAGCATTGTTTGGTTGGGAACTTGGGAAAGTGTGGAGGGAGGGAGGGAGGTTACAGAAGAACAGAACAACATACAGCAGATCCAGTTGCCTGTGTTTGAATCTTAAACTTTGAAAAAAAAATCACTAAAGAAAGGTGATTTGAATTCAAATATATATAAAAAAAATCACTACAGAAAAAAACCACTACAAAATGATCAAGAAAATTCACAATGGTCAACAATTCTTGTGCATCACTTTGAATTCAAATATATAAAATAGATTAAACAAAATGGATCCAAATCAGATATTTGAGATAGTTCTAATCAAATTACAAGTAAAGGCTCAGGGTAATTATTGAAGAAAGGTGGAGAACTGTTTAGTATCATCCTTTAAAGACAGTTTTATGTCTGGAAAAGGGAAAAGTGAGAATGATGCAGAAAACATGCTTGGGGTGGCAGTTAAGAAAACAGTGTTCACAAAAATTTTCTGAAAAAGGTCAACTGCAAAAGAACTTTTCAAAACAATTTCTATGCACCAATGAAAATTGTGATCAATGAACACACCAAAAAAAAAAATGCATGAGTGCCTAATATATATGTATACATATATAGACACATATATGCACATGCAAAAGCAAATGTACACACAATATATATTTATATATATATATTATTAATCAATTTTGAAAGAACATAACAATGATGAAGCAAACTGAAATTAACAGGAAGAACAATCAATAAATCAAAAATCCTCCGTACAAACAACAAAGATGATCAAGATTTACTTTTTACATTACTACTATAGATTCAAAGCAACGAGGAAGATCAGGATTCACTTTTTCATTACTACTAAACCAAGTGATTTTTAGATGTACGACTATATATATGATCATCTATATATTTCATGGATACCCATACACCTCCATGCCCCATGAGAAGACAAAAACAGGATGAACAATATGCTGAAATATGGTTTAATGCATCAAAAAGGCAGAAATATGACAATTACATGGATGGTTACGGCACCCTATCTTAGATATTGAAGGAAAAACATAGTAGACCAAGCACTGAAAAAATACTCTTGTACTCTGGCTCTCTCCACTACAAAATTATAAGGCATGCTTTAATCTTCATCTCTTTGTTCCATCAGCTTCATGCAAACCATTAGTTCAGATAAGCAGTTAAAAGGGACATGTTTCTTACTAGTCAATTTTCACCATAAAATAGAGGAAATTTAGGTGTTTATGCAAACCTTTCAGCAAAGTAATTTTTGTTGAACATGACTGTATCTCAATTTTCAAGAAAAACATTTTTTATTTGCATTTTCAAATTTTATCATGCCCTAAATATTAATTGCTAATTTTAAATCTAGAAGAATTAGCTAGGCACACATATCCAAAAGTAGTCGCCAATCAAAAAAATAAAACAAATTTGAACTAGAGCAATGTTTAGGGGACCAGACCGGACCGGCCGGTTGAACCAATGACCGGGCATAGTTTCGGTCCAGGCAACCCTTTAAAACCGGACTATGGTCAAAACCGGCCTTAAAAGAAAAAACTGTTAGAATTGGTGGTTCAACCAAAATAACCGGTGAACCGGTACCAGGTTGTTCTGACCAGCAGGGTTTGCTCAAAGTATAATAATCCCAAAAAATCCTAAATTTCTAGGGCACACAGAACAGAACTTACGGGGTCCTCCCTCTCTCTCTCTCTCTCTCTCTCTTCGGTTTGTCGCGGTGAACAACAAACGACGAGCGATTCTTCCAGCAAACAGAGAACAGCGAAGGATTCCGGTGAGGATTCTGGCGAGGGCCTCCTTTTGTGTGCAGATCTAGCCAACCTTCGCTTTGCCTCAAGGTGTGTGTCTTCATCCTTTTCAATTGGGTTCTCTTTATTTTATCCTAGTGTTCTCTCTTTAATTGATTTGTTGAAACCTCACTCACTGAATCACATTTTCTTTGGAATTCTAAACATCTACTGTTTTATATATATATATATACATGGTGATATCTTGATATGTACAGCAAGATGTAATTTATTGCGTTATTTTTTGTTTTTCTTTTTAGTTTCAAGATTGTGTTCTTTGGACTTCTAAAATAAGATGTCACATTATTATTGCAAATTACAATTTTATATATTGTGAATTTGTGAGTGATATTTGAAAATTCTATTATTTTGTTATTTATTTATTTCCATTTTCATACATATTTTTAATATATTTATGATGTCATGGTTCAATTCCGGTAGACCCGACGGTTGAACCACTAACCTGTGACCCGGTCCCTTTCCCGGTTCGATGAACAGCCCGGTTTTCAAAACATTGAACTAGAGCACCCTTTGGTAAACCTTTCCAGAATGTGTTGTAAATGTATTACCACCAGATTTTTAGCTAACAAAGCATTAACACACTCCAGACTAATTAACCATCAAATATGTAAAGAAAATAGCTCAACCCATCAATAAATTTCAACCTAATTGGTGATATTTTACACCCATATGAAGAATCTAATAAATTAACCAATTAGATGCTGTTTGTCCAACGTCAGTTCATAAGCATGGAAACACTACATTGCTGTTGTAAGGAGGCATTGTTAAACTCATGCTACTTCATTCTGCATTTCTCCTTCAGCCACCTTATTGGTGCCTCTTGTTTCTATTCATTATAAAATTCATAACCAAAAGGGTACCCACCTCAATGCCCTAAAGTCAGGACAGGGACAGGAGACAGGAGAAAGCTGACTGATTGGGCCATTGTCATCCCCAATTTTCATAGAAATTTTGTGCTCACCTTGCCCTTTATTGAACCAAGTATGCAAGCAAAAAACATACCTAAGATCTACCAGTTCAGCTAATAGAACCCAATTTTCATCATACTTGATCCATTCATTTCAAAATTGATATTGCAGATTTAAAAAATAAAATAAAATCAATTCAAGTCAAATAATGTAACCAAAATCAAATTACAGGAAAAACCTAACAATTGTTTGTTGATACATCTGAACCAAACCCAAAAACCAAAGGAAATCATGTTTAACAGAGGTAAAGAAAAAAAATATAGATCCGAAAGAAAACCAACCATAGAAATCAATTATATCTCAACAACATATAGATATGTAACAAAAAAATTTAAAAATCACAACAGTAAGAGAGAGAAGAAGAAGAAGAAGAAGAAGAAGAAGAAGAAGCACATACCGGTGGGAGGAGAGGCGTGGTGAATCGAAGAGATCGAAGAAGCTCGCCTTCTTCCGAAAATGTTTACCGGTTTTGGAAAAAGGAAAACCGGAAAACGTTTTATGCCATCTTAAATTGATTTTTCTTTGACTAGGAAACCTGTTTTATTTGACTTTTTCTATTCGTTTTTCTTTGACTAAAGAAACCTTTTTCATTTGACTTTATCTTTTCAGCAATGTTATGTGAAATGACAAAATCTATGATAGGTCCAATGTTCGGTTTAACATTTACTTATGTGATTGTCACTTTTTGTTGATCGAATTATTATCGGATGATTGGCCAAATAATCAACGAGTCAAAACTTAAGTTATTCGAATAAATTTAAATTTAAATTACGTAGCATTGTTGATGTAAAAAATATTTTTTTAAAAATGCTTTTTATTTAAACAAATTAAAATTAAAATTTATACTATTATATAAAATAGTCTTATTAACTTCTTATGCCACGTGTTTTTTTTTATTCAATTGAACTTATTTTATTTATATATGTCATGTATGTCACTGTCAATTATAACATATGCTAACAATACTAAGGCCTAGTTTGGGAAGACTAAATAAGTGCACTTTTTTACTTTTTTTGTATTATGTGTAGAAAAAGTAGAGAGGAGATGTTGATTGATGTGACCCAAAAAAGATAAAAAGATGAAATAAGTGCACTTTTTTTGGAGTAGCCAAACTAGGCCTTAGTGATACTTATTAAAAGGCAACATGAAACCAAAAAAATATTTAAAAAATTCATGAATTAAATGATAGAATCTAAATATAAATTTTATGTAATTTCAAATTATTATTTAAAAACTAATTTAATCACTGTCATTTTAATTATATCAATTTTATATTTAAATTATTTGATTTTGAATTAATTTTACCCTACTTTCAAACTATCATTTATAATTAGACAAAATTTGCTAACTTCGCCCCAAACTTCTTTTTACCTTCTAAATTATTCCTCAAAAATCAATTATGTATCGTTTTGAATCTTAAATTCAATTTGTTTATGTTTATTGGTACCCTTACCTTATCCTTGTATTGTTTTCAACTCTTGAAAATGTTAGATTTGTATTTGATCTTTTAATTATTATAATTGGGAACCTCTTTGTGGGCTAATTGTTTGGCTCAAGTCACCTGTTTTATTTGAGATTGAGAGAGAGAGACAGAGCAAGCAAGGGGGTATGAGTAAAATTAGTATTTTGAAAAAAATACACTTCTTGACATCATCAAATTCTGGATTAGTGTTTCATGAACAAAGAAATTGTACTCGATGTAGAGCTTGAGAATAAAACATAGGCTACAATTGAATGTTGTCTTGTAGATATGTAGTTCAAAAAGAGAAAATGTTGTCTTATATGAAATTCATAACTGTGGCTCATAACTTTCTTTGCCAATCACATATCTAAACAAAAATATATGGAGACCTATGAATCTCTATATCTTTGGCTTATAAGCAGTAATGTAATTTAACGTAAGCAAAAAAAAAAATTAAATTTTTAGTTTTGACAAAGAAATTAAATATCTTGCTCAATTTAAAAAAAAATAAATCCTTCTTTTAATATCAATTGAGAACACAATATTAGAGCCACTAAGGTTGTTCATAAAACTAAGAAGAAAGCATAGCATCAACTGAAAGAATAGCTAATGACAACAATTCAAGTGCTTTCCTACCATCTTCACACACTCCCTTCTCTCTCATATCTACCTACTCTCCATATTAAAAGTACAAAAACCATAGAATGTTTTCTATTTTTTTTAATTTCCGAAACACTTTCCCTTGCTAATTGATATTTATAGCCCCGTTAATTTCAAAAAGGTGGCACATTGGAAATTGAATTCCACCATAAAATCAGCTCCTTGTTTTTTTTTTTTTTAAACCAAAGCAACTGCTTTTATTTGATCCTCCTTAAAAAGAAACGGCTTGTTTTTGGCAATGAAACTGATATCAAGATCGTATTTCATACGATTCATTTTAACTATAAAAAAAAAAAAAAAAAAAAACAAACTTACAAACAACTTAGCAAATTAAAAAGTTGGGACAATATCTCTCAAACATTATTCTAAAATCAAAAGGCGTGAATAACATCACGAGTTTGTATTGGACTTTTATGTATAAGGTGCTAAACCACTAATAAGAAAATTTATAGAAAGTTCAAGTTGTGGAGTACCAAGGTATGTCCAAGTCTTCAATCTTGTGTTTGGTTGAACAATTATATATTTTTCATGGTTGTTCAAGATGTACACTTTTGTTTTTAAGAAAAAATATATGTGTTATTTATGCAATAAAATTTATGCACTACAAGAAATTAAGGTTTTAAAGACAAATTTTTAGAGACAAAAATAATTTGTCTGTAAAAATTATACTTTTAGAGACAAAATGAAAGAATTTAAAAATAAAATAAAATAATCATATTATTATATTCTTAAGACAAAATTATTTGGTTGCAAAAGAGTTAATGACTTTTTGCCTACAATTTTGATTCGTCCCCAATAAACTCAACTCATACATTATTTTATTTTATTTTCATTCTTTCAATTTCAATAGTCGGGACTTCATTTCCTTCTCCACACCAATCTCTCTCTCTCTCTCTATCGAAGCCCTAATTTCATTGTTCTCGGTGGTTTTTTGATTTCAATCCCTCTCTCTCGCGATCGAATCCCTGATGGCTGTGAGCACAAACTGATCGTAGCGTTCTTCTGATCTCATTGATTTCAACAATTAAGGGATAACACAGCATCTCTCTCCACTGTGATTTCAGCATCCAAGGTCGATCGATTAATCGATTTCAATCTCATTGATTTGGTTTTTGATTTCAGCATCTAGTGTGATTAATCGATTTATTGGTGCAGTGTTTGTGTTGATGATGTATTATCATAATGTGATTCGTTTTAAATTCATATTTGTGAGTGTTAGATTTGGTAATTGTGGATATGAAATAGCCGTAATTGTGGAGAGAGAGACAAATGCAAAATTTATATTTGTGAGTGTTTGATTCGTTTTGCATTTGTCACAAAATTATATTTGTGAGTGTTTGATTCAAAATTACTTCATTTTGAAAGTAATATTGAATTCCTGATTTGTCTTTTAGTCTTAATCATAATAATTCAACGGCTCTGTTTGGTTGAGCAGTTTTCAAAATCTGTTTAGTTTGGTGAAAACAAAAATTATCTTATAATAGCATGTATTATCTTATTTGCCATAATTTTCTCAGCTGAAGTTTAAATGACTATACTGAGTCATTGATCCTGTTTGTGTGACGGTTGTCTATCTTTCCACAAGAAGGATGACAAACTGAAACTTGTGGTACCTTGTTGTGTTGTTGTCAGGACTACACCAATGACATCAGGTAGACTTCAAGAAAGAGGGTCAGCTTTGTCTATCAATTGGGGGGGTAGTTTTTTTTTTGTCAAATAAACACTGTTGAGTAGATTAGGAATTTAAATTGGTTTGCTTCAAAACTTGTTTCCTTTTTTTTTTTCAAACCTCATAACTGTTAGTCTTTTTAATTCATAAAATGTATCAATTTTCAAATTTTGATAATTCAATCATACGTTTCAAAATCTTATTTCTCTGGGGAAAAATAAATTGATCATGTGCAAACTAATGTGTGTGCCATCACATAATATTTTATCTACTGTTTTATTGAGAGATTAATTTAATAGTCAATTTCTCATTTTCAACTGTTGCACCTCCGAAGAAGCTAAGACATCCTTTTGTTGCTTATTTCTAATCCTTGGTCAGTTGGGAGTAGATCATTGAATATTTGAATATTGAGGTTTATATGTTGTTATATTTTTATTTGCATATGGTGGTTGCCCTGGCAGAATCTTTCATCTTTATTCCATTTCTCTACACATATTTCACAATTCCAATCTTGTCCTCTACTTCCAGGCATGATCTGTTGTTATCTTCTGATAAAGAATTCCTGCTATTGCTTGTTTTTGACTTTTTTTTTTATATTTTTTTTATGAACTTTTGTATCATGAAACTCATTTGCTGTTGAGTTTGAAGATCAACATTTTGAGGGCTAAATGTGCACTTCCTTATTCATGAGGTAGCTTATTTCGTTGCCTCATAACTCTGAACATCATTAAAGCTTTAGCAATAATCATTAGTTAATTTGGATCTATTTTATTACCTAGATATTTAATTGGGGTTTGAAATTTTCAATTTTATTTGTTTTTAAGCTTCAGGCAATCAAGGATGGTAGAGAGAACTCATATGTATTGTATATTGTATAAGCTCAAAGGCCTATTTATGAAGTTCTTAAAACTTTTTGTAGTATCAATATGTGAATTATTGTTTTAGGTTCGCTTGGTAAAATATCTTGAACAGGCTAGGGAAGAAGCAAGATACATGTTTTGCAAGTAGATTAAAATAGATTTTGATTAAAAATGAGGATGTGAGAGAACAGTGAAAACTGTATATGAAAGAAAGTTCTACAATATCCTATTTTGTGGAGAGTGGAGCCGTAGTGGTATTGCAGAGGCATTAGGCACATCATCCTAATATCCTCATTCATCTATCAGACCTCACTGGGGATTTTTTACTGGTTCTAATCTGTAATTTCAGGCTAGTACCTAACCATTTCTTATACTATGCCTTTTGGTGACTGCTCTAGCAACTAGCCATTGGATGAACAACTGCTGCCTAATAGTTCTAGATTTTACCAAAGCTTTATCCATTTCATGTTTTGTTTTGTTTTTTTTTTTTTAAAAAATCCATTTCATGTTGCCTAGCACAAGTTCAGGCTAAAATCTTGTTTTTTGTTTTTCTTTTCTTGAATATTTATCTAGAGAACAACAAGGGTTAGATGTAGTCTTAGGCTCTATTTTTAGATCATGAATTTAGATTGAGAGAAAGTCAGAAAGCCCTTGCAAGAAAGATACATTAAACTTGAAAGTCAGTTTTGTGAAAGATTGCCTCACAAACTATCACTGAAAATCATTAAGAAAATCTCAAAAATTCTTGCTACCAAAGGTTCCAAATTTTCAAAAGCCTAAGAAGATGAGGACTCATTTTGATGTTTAGGCTGTGGTCTCAAAAATCTTGGGCCGATATTGGTGAGCCGTGGTTTTGTAGGTGGGGTTGGAGTTTTAACAAATCCGATCCATTTACAGGCCTAGTCTATACTTGTGGTTGTCATGGATGTGAGTGTACATTTAAGTATATGGGTGTGTTATTTTGCAGGAGATGATGTGCAACTAATGACAAGGAGGCAAATGCAATAGTCTTTATAATATAAATTAGAGTGCTTTTGAACTACAATATGAGTTGATTGGCTATAATAGAAACAATTACCAACTTCAATGAATATTTATGCACATCATCATTAAAAGTGATTTTCTCTTCAGAATTAGATTACTGTTTTTTAAATAAATTTATACACATAAACATCTCGGGTTTTAAGAAACTGTGCATTTCTGCATTGTCCTCTGATAATTGAATGAACATGTTTATGAAAGTGTATAGGACCCTACAGATCTGCATTTCTTATTGATAGCATTTTTGTGGTAAAAATTGTAGTCTCTGTGTTGACCGTGGATTGAATGAACATGTCTATGTTGTTGGTCGATTCTAGGTAACTCCACTAACAAGACCGGGCATGCAAGTCTAGTGAGCATCAAGTAGCACAGCAGGTGACTGCTTGTGCGCATTCTACCACATTAACAGCACACCTACAATGGTGGATTGATACGTATACTGAAATTTTCAAGAACCCTCTACCCTTATAGCAGTGTGAGTTCCAATGCTAACGCTTGTTAACTCTATACAGTGAGTTTAATTTTTTGACCATAGATTGTTATATTATAATTTGACTGGTATATGATTTGCCTATGGTTTGTGTTTATTGCTTTTCAGTTATCAGCAGTTTGATCTTGTGATATTTAAGGAGTGATAGGGTTTTTTGTTTTTTTGGTAAGAAGAGTGGTTAAATGTTTAATTGTTAGTAATTGCTTTTTTGTGCCTAACACGGGATTGGATTTTAGTTTAATCTTTGTTAACTTTTGAATAGTGATAGTGAATTTTGGACGGCTTTGTGTACTGAGATTTATGTGTGATTGTTGCAGATACTACAATTGGCACATTAAATTACAATCTATTAAATTAATCTGTCATTGGATAATTTTTAATTGGTAATCTATTTGAGAGTTTGGCCTATTCTATGCAGGTTCTGCAAGCTTGTGTCGATTTGAAACTTGCGAGCTCTCTACTAGATTTTGAATGCCATTTCAATGAAGTCCTTGAGAAAAAGATGCGATGAGTTTAGTTGTTTTGTTATGTAGATAGATATAACTCCAATTACAATCTGTTTATTGAATAGTTGAATGTTACAAACAATGCTTATGACACTAACCTTATAAATTGGAAATGATACTTTTGAAATCTCTGTCAGTTTATGGTATACAATCAAGATATTACATACTAATGAATCAGAGCATGGTATTTTTTTGTTATTGAAATATCTTTTGATTAAGCCTCTTTGAATGTGATAAGCATTTTTTTTGTTTGTTTTGTGTAGTTGAATTTTAATTTGGAGATGAACAGATAGTCTGGTGATATGTTTGATATTTTCTGTTTGGTTGTTGAGAAATCAAGAAAGGAATATAAGTTGATGTTCATACTAGTATTTTTAGAGTAATTGTTACAAAAAATAAATAAATAAATAAATAAAATAAAAATATCAAACTTTTAGAGACCAATTTTAGTTGTCTCAAAAAAATTATAACCTTTACACACCACTTTCATTTGTTCCAAAAACTAAAACTTTTGGAGACCACTTTCATTTGTCCCAAAAACTAAACTTTTAGAGACCAATTTCTATTGTCTCAAAAATTAATTTTTGTCTGGATTATAATTTGACTTTACGAGACAAATTTTGGTGGTCTCAAAATCAAAACTTTTTTGCAGCCATTCATATTTTTGTCTCTAAAACGTCCTATTTATAGTGACCAAATGCAAAATTTTGTTCTCTAATCATTTTTGACTTTTCCGGACGCGGCCATTTGGGACAAACTTCGCAAATGGAGAAAATTGGTTGGCCAAAAGTTTTTCCCAACAAAATATCTTACACTAATTAGGGACGGAATAAATTTGTCCGCTAAAAAGGTTGATTCTTAGTAGTGATGACTTATAGATTTTACTGTAAGATTGGTGAGAGAGAGAGAGAGAGAGAAAAAGAAGAGAGACTTTAATGAAGTGTTTGTTATATTCGTTATAGTTTACCAAGAGTGATTGAATTCTCATTTATAGAGAAAGCACCGAAAGGAGAAAGACATATCATAATGAAAGCTACGCACTATGAATGCATAATGAATGAAAGTGTATGTTAGTGTTGTTCCCTTTACAGCATATTGTCTAATGTATATTAATCTAATGTATATTAATATATATACAACAGCCCCCGCAAACTCAGGAGGGTAGGCATCTACCAAGTTGGAAGTTTTGGAAACAAGATCTATAGCGACCCGGTCTTTTCCCATTTAATTATTGTATCCGGACTGTTCCGTAGATTCTGTCATTGTATAATGGTTGTTTGTTGTTATTCTTAATTTTTTCATTTGGGGATTATAGGATGTTTTGGGCGGTTTGTTTCAGGTTGGTTGGGTTTAGAAACCAAAGTTGCTGTCAGGTTTTTGGGTTCTTTCGCTCGAGCGAGGAGTGTTCGCTCGAGCCGAGAGGTAGTGTTGATTTGGACCTGTAGCTTGTGCATTTTTGGCTCGAGCGAGCTTTTCTTCTGGTTTTTCTTCGCTTAGCGAGTTAGTCATCCTTCGCTCGAGCTATAGTTTCCTTCGCTCGAGCGTGTGTCTGGGCGGTTCAGACCTGGGGTTTTGAGTTTTCCTCGGACCGAGCTTTTCTTTCCGCTCGAGCGAGCATTTGAGTTGCTTGGCTCGAGGCAAGGCTTCCTTTGGCTCGAGCGTAGTTTCTCTGTGTCTGGTCGCTCGAGCGCACCAAGTCTTTCGCTTGAGCGAGCTGCTCCAGTTTATATTACACAACAGCGGATTTGATCAGTCTTTTTCATTTTCTTGTTGATTCAAACCCTAGTCCGACTTCTCTCTCTCCCTTACTCACCTTCTTTCTTAGATTTTGATCCACTTAGGTGTTGTGTTTCTACCTAGAATCCTTCATATAAAAGATAGAGTGAGGCAAGGGCTACCATTTTAAATCTGAGATATTTGACGATTTGGAGCACTTTTTGGTTTTTGGGCATTCATCTCTTTCTTCACCTTTTGGGTTCGTTTTTCTTTGAGGTAGGGATTTCCTACTCCATTTAATAGTGTTTCGCCTTCTAGTTTTGGTATTTGATGTGTGGGTTACTTTGGTAATTTCGGGAAAACCTAGTTGTTGTAATAAATTAATTTATATAAATCATTCAGGGAATAATTGGGGAATTTAGTTGAATCATGGAATTAATGAATTTTATTGATAAATGGTGTAGTTGGTTAGTTTAATCACTCAACCTATGAAAATGTTGGAATTATGTTAGTTTGATAATTTATTTCCTGTTTAGAAATAACTGTTTTGGGCTATCGGTGGAGATAAGTCCGTGATTGTTGTAGACATTGCATGTGGATTTAGGAATAACTGAAAACTAATCACATTGGTTAAGTCATTAACTTTGACTTTGCATTGATACAGAAATACGTGATTTGATTGGCATTGCATTTGCATAGCCTTGTTTTGTGTGGGAGGAGAATAGGGTGATGTTTACTTCCGGTTTAGGGGAAGATAGGGGGATGGACCTCTAACCGGATTTTTGTTTGGGAGGAGATAGCGGGATGGACTCCATTAGCATCACTTTTATGTGTGCTTATTATATTGAAGTGTTTTTATGATACAGCACTAAAATGTTGTATCATCTGGAAGTATGAAAGTGTTTGAATTGAGCTTGATCTCATTTGTTTGTTGATATGGGCAGGATGTGAAATGGTATATGTAATTCACTGTTGTAAGTTTGGCCAGGTTCTGAGCCATGTTGATAAAATTGGAGAGTAAATTGTATCTTAGACAATAGTGTCATGAGACTGTAAAATGAAGTGGTTGATTATCTTGGTTAACCATCTGTCAAATACTATTGCTTTATTCGTTGCTTATATGTGGTTTAGTATATTTCTACTGGGCTGTGGCTCACCCTTTATGGGAACATCATTTTCAGGTTCAGGTGATAAGCAACCTCCCAGGACTTAGTTTGGAAGGATGCGGATTTTGAAGACTTGTCTTTAGTTATTTATTTTAAATAAGGTTACATGTAAACATTCAAGCCAAGGGCTTAACTTGTAAATGGGTTAATACTCATTCTTTTGTGTCCAAGTGTTAGCTTGGAAAGATGTAAGCCCTTAGGGCATTTATTTTGATGTTCCATGTAATGACTTTTAATAAAAGTACTCTGATGAATAATTCAAAAGATTCGTTTTCTTTTAATAATGCACGTTAATGTTATGTACATTATGGGTTTAATTTGAGGGCGTTACAAGATCACTGAAGCGCCCAGGAGGATGAGCCTTGGTGAAAATATCACCAGGTTGATCGGCAGAAGCAATAGGGAGAAGATGAACAATACCAAGGGTAACATGCTGTCGAATGAAATGACAATCAATCTCAATATGCTTTGTGCAATCATGAAAAACATTATTGTGAACAATCTGAATGGCACTCTAATTGTCACAATAGAGAGAGGTAGTGCCAGAAGAAGAAACACCCATATCAGCAAGGAGCCAGCGAAGCCAGAGAAGTTCCTGAGTAGTATCAGCAAGAGCTCGGTATTCAGCTTTGGTACTAGAGCGGGCAGTGATGGATTGTTTCTTGCTATGCCAAGTAAGAAGAGAATCCCCTAAGATAAAACAGAAACCCGGGGTGAAGCATCAATCCATAGGATCCCCAGTCCAATCAGCATCAGAAAAAGCACACAGTTCAAAAAAGGAGGAAGTAGAGTAGTGGAGGCCATGGAACAGAGTGCCTTTGAGGTAGCAAAGGATGCGAAGTGGAGCAGTATAATGGGGAGTGCGAGGAGCCGACATGTACTGACTAACAATGTGAACAGCATAGGCAATGTCAGGACGAGTCACGGTGAGATAGACAAGACTATCGACGAGCTGGCGATAAAGAGTAGCATCTGAGAGGAGATCCCCATCGAGAGGAGTGAGACGAAGCTGAGGATCAACTGGAGTAGAGGTAGTTTTGCAATCAGTAAGACCAGCACGAGCTAGAAGATCGAATGCATATTTGGCCTGGGACAAATAGGAACCAGTAGAATCATGGGAGACTTCAAGGCCTAAGAAGTAGTTAAGAGTACCAAGGTCCTTCATCTCAAACTGACGGTGGAGAAAACGTTTGAGGTAGAGAATACTAGCTGCATCTTTACCAGTGATAATCATATCATCCACATAAAGAAGGAGAAGAGTGGTACCATGAGGAGTAGTCCGTATAAATAAAGCAGAGTCATAGGAGCTAGAGGTGAACCCAAAGTCATGAATGGTATAACTGAACTTAGCAAACCAAGCGCGGGGTGCTTGCTTGAGGCCATAGAGAGCACGCTGTAGTTTGTAAACCTTATGAGGTTGAAAAGTGGACCCAGGTGGAGGTTGCATGTAGACCTCCTCAAGAAGATTACTATTGAGGAAAGCATTTTTGACATCCATCTGAAAGAGCTCCCAGTGGCGAGCAACAGCAACAGCGAGCAAACTGCGAACAGAGGTAAGCCGAGCAACAAGGGAGAAGGTCTCCTCATAATTAATACCATATTCTTGGTTGAAACCCTTGGCAACAAGACGAGCTTTGTAGCGTTCAATAGAGCCATCAGAATGAGTCTTGATTTTGTAAACCTATTTGCAGCCAATCGCAATCTTGCCAGGAGGAAGATCAACAAGATCCCAAGTATGAGTTTTGTCCAAAGCCTGGAGTTCATCAGTCATAGCTTGCTGCCAAAGAGGATTAGTACAAGCCTCACGATAGGAGGTAGGTTCATAAGTAGAAAAGGCAGCAGACTCAACAATATAATCATGAAGATGGATAGGTGGTTAAGTTACCCGGTGTGGTCGACCCGTAGGAGGATCGGTGGGAGGAAGAGCCGGTGGAGAAGGAGGAGAAGAACGAGGTGGCGCAATGAGAGGTGGACCTTCAAGGAGAACAATCTAGATGGGATCAGGGGTCAACAAGGGCGTCTCGATGAAGGAGGAACCTGTATCAAAGTCATCAGAGAAGAGATCTATGGAAGGATTAGTAAATAGGACATTAGTGGAAAAGTGCGGGTAAGTGAAAGGAGGATAGGGAGGAAAACATTTTGTGCTCCCAAAAAATGACATGTCGAGAGATACGAAGACGCTTAGAGAGAGGATCCCAACAGCGAAAACCTTTATGTTCAATTCCATACCCAAGAAAGCAGCAAAGA